AAGAAATGATCGACGACGGCGTTATCCAGCCTTCGAACAGTCCCTGGTCCTCACCGGTCGTTCTGGTTAAGAAGAAGGACGGTACGCTTCGCTTCTGTGTAGATTACAGAAAGCTCAACAACGTCACAAAAAAAGATGTTTATCCGCTGCCGCGTATTGATGACTCGCTTGACCGACTACGACGAGCGAAGTATTTTTCTTCCCTGGATTTAAAGAGTGGCTACTGGCAAATTGAGGTTGATGAGCGCGACCGCGAAAAAACCGCCTTTGTCACGCCGGATGGCCTCTACGAATTTCGGGTGCTACCGTTCGGACTCTGCTCTGCGCCAGCTACCTTCCAACGCATGATGGACACTGTGTTGACTGACTTAAAATGGCAAAGCTGCCTTGTGTACTTGGATGATGTGGTCGTGTTTTCAACCAGCTTCTCCGAACATCTGAAGCGACTACGACAAGTACTTGAGGCGATTCGGACGGCTAACCTTACGTTAAAGCCGCAAAAATGCCATTTCGGTTACGAAGAACTAAAGTTCCTTGGACATGTCGTAAGCGCAGAAGGCGTCCGTCCTGACCCTGAGAAAACCGCCGCTGTCGCAGCCTTCCCGACTCCTGCCGATAAGAAAAGTGTGCGGCGGTTTCTTGGTCTATGCGCGTACTACCGGCGCTTTATAGGCAATTTTTCGAAAATTGCCGAACCATTAACTAGACTCACTAGAGACGATACGCCGTTCGTTTGGAGTGCTGAACAAGAATCAGCATTCACAGAGCTTCGGCTTCGCCTGGCATCACCACCTGTTCTTGGACATTTCGACGAGGAAGCCGAAACAGAAATTCATACCGACGCCAGTAACGTCGGTCTGGGCGCGGTACTCGTCCAACGGCAGGAGGGAATTGAAAAGGTTATCGCCTACGCAAGCCGAACCCTAACACGCCCGGAGTCAAACTACAGTACCACGGAGAAGGAGTGCCTTGCTGTCGTGTGGGCAATTGCTAAGTTTCGACCTTACCTTTACGGCCGTCCATTCAGAGTAGTGACGGATCATCACTCGCTGTGCTGGCTTGCGAACCTCAGAGACCCTTCCGGACGACTGGCAAGGTGGAGCCTACGTCTGCAGGAGTACGACGTCACTATCGTGTACAAGTCCGGTCGTGCACACGAAGATGCGGACACGTTGTCACGCGCGCCAGTTGAGCCTGCCGCTCAGAGCTTCGAAGAGGACTGCCCTTTCCTTGGCTCCGTAAGCGTAACAGACTTGGCTTTACGGCAGCGAGCAGATGCTCAATTGCGACCTATCATTGAACATCTAGAGGGCCGCAACGTATCACTGCCCCAGCATATAACTCGCGGATTGTCATCCTTCTGCTTACGACAGGGCGTGTTGTACAAGAAGAACGCAGCCGCCAGCAACAAAACTTACCTGTTGGTCGTCCCCGCAGAGCTGCGTGAGGAAATTCTATTTGCCTGCCACAACGAGCCTCCATCGGGCCATCTGGGCATCACCCGAACCATCGCTAGGGTACGAAAGTCTTACTACTGGCCGAAACTTGCCGCTTGCGTTAAACAGTACGTTCAAGCCTGCCGCGAATGCCAGCGCCGAAAATCCCCATCTGTTAAGCCTGCGGGATTACTTCACCCTATCGAGCCACCCAGAACACCCTTCGATCAAGTCGGCATGGACCTCCTGGGTCCGTTTCCCTTGTCATCTTCCGGCAACAAGTGGATAATCGTCGCTACAGATTATCTAACCCGCTATGCTGAAACTAAGGCGCTTCCTAAAAGCACGGCTTGTGAAGTTGCTCAGTTTTTCATCGAGAGAATTGTATTACGCCACGGTGCTCCATCCTGTGTCATCACAGACCGAGGAACAGCGTTTACAGCAAGGCTCCTTGAACAAGTTTTTCAGTTAAGTTACTCCACGCATCGCAAGACAACAGCGTATCACCCTCAGACAAATGGACTGACCGAGCGGCTTAACAAAACGATGACTGATATGCTGTCTATGTACATAGACGTACAGCACAAGACGTGGGATGAAATACTGCCTTACGTAACATTCGCGTATAATACCGCTACGCAAGAGACCACACGATTCACTCCGTTTCGTCTTCTATACGGTCGGGACGTTCAGACGATGTTGGACGCAATGCTCCCATGCGACATTGACAACATCGAGAATCTCGACGAAGATGCTGAGTGTTTCGTGCAACGAGCCGAGGAAGCACGTCAACTAGCCCGCGTAAACATCAAGAAACAACAAGGCGTCGATGCACAGCGCTACAACCGCTGCCACAGACAAGTCGATTATAAACCAGGTGACCAGGTGTTGGTTTGGACCCCTGTGCGCTGCAAAGGTCTCTCTGAGAAGCTTCTCAGTCGGTATTTTGGCCCGTACAAAGTGCTACGACAAGTGAGCGACGTCAATTACGAAGTCCTTCCGGACGGAAGCCAACCACCCCGACGCCGACAGCTACGACCCGAGATTGTGCACGTGGTGCGGTTAAAACCGTACCACACACTGTGACAATGTTTTTTTTTTTTTTTACGATACACGCTTCGTTTAGCATCGAGGCGATGCTCTTCAGGGAGGAGGGGCAGTGCCGCGCGCTTGATCTGCCAGCGCAAAAGAGGCAGACGAAGTGGCAGTTCCCCTCGTGCCATTGTTCTGTTTTTGGCTGCGCTGAGCCGACCGCTCTCTCGGACTTTTGTGAGGACGCCTTAAAAACGTCTCCTGTCTCTTTAACGTAACTAGCGGTAAAGTTTTCGATCCATCTGAAGCATCTTTTGTGTCTTACTCTGGCGTATTCACGATGCTTTTAAGCCCTTAGGTCCAAAACATCGTGTGGACCGGATAATTCGCCAAATATGTTTATAAATAGGTATGCTGAACATGTCGTAAAATTGCTGTATAAAATTGTTTGTGTTTCATTGTTGTCATCAAAGCTACCAGGTGACTGGAAGGCCGCTCTCATTAGTCGCGTATTCAAAAAAGGGAACCGTCTTTCCCCTCAAAATTATCGTCCTATATCTCTAACGTCATCCTGCTGTAAATTAATTGAACATATTGTTGCCACCCAAATAGTAAATTTTTTGGACCAACATTCTATGTTGACACAATTTCAACACGGGTTTAGAAAGGGATACTCAACAGTAACGCGATTGGTTACAGTAATCCACTCATTCGCACTAAATCTTGATAACAATAGGCAAACTGACATAATTTTCTTAGATTTCAGTAAAGCGTTTGACAGAATACCTCACGATAAACTGATTCAAAAACTTAAGCGGATTGGCCTTCCAGATATTCTCGTAAACTGGATTGCCGAATATCTTACTAACCGGTCACAATTTGTTGCAGTTAATGACCACTGTTCACCACATCTTCATGTCTCATCAGGTGTGCCCCAGGGAAGTGTACTGGGGTCATTGCGTTTTCTCATTTATATCAACGATATTGTCAATGTCATAACACCTACAGCACAAATTAGATTATTTGCCTATGATTGTGTTTTGTTTCGTGATATTTATTCTGTTCATGATCAAAACGGATTTAACACAAATCTTTCCAATATAGATCAGCGGTGTAATGAATGGGGAATAACCCTCAACGTAGACAAAAGTGTCTGTATGCGTCTGACACGTCAAAAAATCCGCTAGACTGTATCTACAAACTAAGGCCGTCATCCCTGAGAGAGGTCACTAGCTATAAATATTTGGGCTTGACCATAAATGACAATTTATCCTGGAACGTCCACATAGACAACATATGTTCAGCTGCCCTCCGAAAACTCGGCTTTTTAAGACATAAACTGCGTAAGTGCCCTCCAAATGTAATGTAAATCATCTTAGTTATTCTTATTTTGCGAGACCTAAACTAGAATACGCTAGCAGAGTATGGGACCCTTACACTAAGTTTAATATTGATAAAATTGAGCGGGTTCAAAGGAAAGCAGTTCGTTTTATATACAACAAATACTTACCATCTGATTCACCCTCTGCACTAAAGACTGCAAATGACAATCAGCCACTTGCTTCGCGCAGACTCAAACAATGGCTTGATTTCTTTTTCTTGTTACTTAACAGTAAACTCGCCATTGATCCATCACCGTATCTATCTTTCCTATCAACTAGGCAGACCCGACATAACCATCCCAATTTGCTTACCCCATATTTCGCGCGAACTGATGTCTTTATGTATTATTTCTTTCCACGGACAGTGTCTGATTGGAACATATTATGTGATATTCATTCATCGTGAATTAAGTAGAGTGAATTGCATTATGTATGGTGCATGTTATTCCTGTTTTTTTTATGTGATGTGCCCTTCCTGCTTAGACCATTTATGATTCGCAGTATGTACTAAATAATAAAAATAATATTTGAAAGAGATCGTAAAGATGAAGAAAAACAAATTTTTACCAATAGTTGGGTGCCAAAACGCTCCATCCTCTTATGAATGGGGAAAGGCGACTGCATTTAAGAGGCAGGCTACAGTTAATTAAAGAAACAAAGAGTTGGGAATCCTATTTTCTCGCCTGCGCATCAACATTTTACTAAACTTCTAGTCACAGGCATCACTTGGTGTGTACTGAAGCTAGGGAGGACTTTTGAATACCTCGGACCTGAGAGGTCATGAAGAAAGTAACCGCCGGATGCTGCGCATATGCGAAGTACAGAGCCAAACCAGCGAGCGCCTCTGTAGCACCTTTACCAAGAGAAAGAGTGTGGCGCTCCGATCCTTTTCCGGCTGTGGAACACCATTACCTCGTGGTACTTTCAGCTTTTCTAAAACAAAAGTGACACGTGTCTCTAAAGAAGGCGTGCCTTTTTGCAGAAATACATAAGAGCTTATAACACGCCTATTGTTTCTGTGTAGCTGTAGCAACAATAAAACAGCTACCATTCATTGCTGCTTTTCACTTATTTTTAGGATAATATCATTAGGCATTCTTCCGTGTTGCGTTGACGAGCGAGAGAAATGAAAAGTCAAAACGAGGCTTACCTTTGGAAGGTTGAGCTCCGTTTCATTGTAATTTTCTTTAGATTCAACAGAGAAGAACAACGAAACCATCATAACCATAATACCACTACATGTAAATGCAGAAAGATTGAAGTACGCCATGTCCAGTTGAACCGAGCTTTGAGTGTCGCAGATTTATAGTGTATCCTTCAAAATTTCGCAGATCCTCTTGTACATCGAGACTGAAATGAACAAGCCTTTCCTACAACGTTTTATACTAACGAAACACACAAAAAAGCACATGTTTACACACAAGCACGCCGTCGTTAAGTGAAGCGATTCTATGTGAACTACTTGTGAAGTTTATTTTGCTTGTGACCTTTCTAACATTAGTTGTCGAAAAAGGCCACAGAAGCCTTTGATTCTGATGTGCGAAAATATGCTTGACGAATGCGTCATGAAATGGTATGCGTGATAGTAGTGTGCCATAAAAGCCAGGTTTCGTTGCTTATATAATAGAGCGGCGCGGTATCATTTCAAATGCCAAGCATTTCTTAGCGAACTTCGGCGACTTTGAGCATATCTATCTATCTATCTATCTATCTATCTATCTATCTATCTATCTATCTATCTATCTATCTATCTATCTGTCTGTCTGTCTGTCTGTCTGTCTGTCTGTCTGTCTGTCTGCCTGTCTGTCTATCTATCTATCTATCTATCTATCTATCTATCTATCTATCTATCTATCTATCTATCTATCTATCTATCTATCTATCTATCTATCTATCTAGCCGCCTACAACGTTTAGCTCTCCTGGTCGTTTGGATAACGGTATCGATACCAAAGTTGTTATCACATAACATGACTGTATGACAAGCATATTTGACTAGTCACAACATGAAAATCATGATATGTATGTCATGAATGTCATGATTTACATTTCGTGGTGTTGCTGCTCTTCTTGTGGTCTCGTTCACATGACATGTTGCAAAACTGGTATGGTATGAGATGATTGCATGGCGAACACAAGAGACAGACCCTAACGCGGAAATCATGGCATGCATGCCATGTAAGTCATGAGTCATGACTACACGCCACGCTCATGATGCGCTCGCAGCCATCTCGCTAGCTTCCAATACACCGAATTCGACGTTACGTGATGCGAATGGATGAAGAACGTATGTGACTGGTGCAAACATGATGACCATGAGATGCGTGTCATGTGACATGATTACAAGCCACACTCATGATGGCCTCGCAGCCGTTTCGCTAGCTTCACATACAACGAATTCGGTATTACGGGACGTGAATGGAGGACGAAGGGATGTGACTGGTGCAAGCATGATAATCATGTGATGCGTGTCATGTGACAACATGACTACATGCTACGCTCATGACGCGCTCGTGGCCTTCTCGCTAGCTTCACATGTACCAAATTAAGTATTACGTGACACAAACGGACGACATATGTAAATGTATCATGTCCAAACATGATAATCACGACATGCGTGTCACGTAACAACATTACTACATGCCGCACTCATGATGCGCTCGAGGCCATTTTGTCAGATTCATATATGCCAAATTTTGTATTACGTCAGGTGAATGGATGACGAAGGTATGTGACTGGTGCAAACATAATAATTATGAGATGCGTGTCTTGTAAGAACATGACTACATGCCACACTGAACGCGCCGATCCACTCAGACGTGACCCGGTGCGCGTGTGCTCCAGCGTTCGTTTCGTCACGTCATGCCAGCGATGCCCGCCAGGCGCCAATCTGGCTGGCGTATACTCGCAGGCATGCGGCGCACTGCGTTGCTTTGACACATGCGCATTTGTTCACGCCCGGCGTCCCTCCTTCACGAAGTTAGGCAGACGCGGTGCATTCTGAGTAACGTCGTTAGTGCGAAATGCAGCATGTCGCATTTCGCACCAGTTGCCGCCGGGCTGCGCCGTCAGACTATAGTGTGTTCGCGTTTTGCTTAATAGTACCGTCGCTGCGCCCAGCGTGCGCTCGTCAACGTTACGACGCAATATATTGGGACCTTCATAATGCTCTCCCCGCTGTTTCACAAGCTTCACATGTTCCATGTTTGGTATTACGTGATGTGAATGGACGACGAAGGTATATGACTGGTGCAAACATGTTCATGATGAAATGCGTGTCATGTAACAACACGGCAACATGCCACGCTCATGATCCGCTCGCGGTCGTTTCTAGCTCCACTTATACCAACTTGGAATCGCATGACTTTAATAGACGGCGAATTTTAATGACACGTCTGAACGTCATCTTCATGATATGCGTGTCATCTAAAGCATGCCTACATGCTACGCATATCATGCTCGCAGCCGTTTCGCTAGTTCCACATTTACCTAATTCGATATCAGTTGACGTGAATAAATGATGAAGGTGAATGACACGTCCAAACTTAATAATTATGATATGGAAGTTACGTACGGCATAATTTACCTCCGCCTGGTAACGTTGTTCTGATTTCAAACTGACATTTAATCCGTCCTCATTCGCGCTTCGCATATCATCGATTCCCACTGTACGTGAGATCTGCCAATTTTTATGATAGATACTACAGGCAGCCGAATTTAGGCGTGTGCCAGTATGCTGTAACAATTAGAGGCAATATCACTGATCATAGTCCTGCTCTCTACTGGTGACAATGAATTTGTTTTTCGAAAAATTTGTCAATAGACAGTATCAGGAATCTCGATAGAGAAATCTATGACAACTTTTTTATTCACTGGTGATATGCTCATTATGTCATGGGGCTGTCAACCATGCTAGCAAATATTCATTGAATAACTTCAGTACTGATGTTTTTTCAGCTTGCCAATGTAAAGGCGCGGAAATTTGTCGAGTCCGTAAACAACGCGTACAATTAAAAGAACTTTATGAATGCCTGAAACGACTTCGCTCACCCTCATTTGGGAGCATGCCAGAAGCTGTGCGCGCACGCGGAAGAGAGAGAGGGGTTCGGGGAAGGAAAAGACGCAAATTCTGCAGTCCTACTTCGGAGCACGCCTCAGCGCCTGTAGGGCAGGGTTGAGGGTAATAAAGATGTGGCAAAAAGAGAAAAAGAACTCAAATGATGTCATTGATGTGGCGGGTGGCTTCTATAGCTGGTTATCTAGTCCAGTGTCCACAAGGAAGCAATGAAGCGCCTTGAATACCTCAGTGGGGTGCTGAGCAAAAAATAGAAGGTGCCTCTGCTTAGCCGCGGGTAGACTATGGCGACAAAGCGTGGCGAGCAAGACGTCTTGTTGTGTGTGAAGCGCTTGGCAAACACACAACATGGGCTCGATAGTTTTATCTGCTCTGCACGTGGTGCACGCAGGAGACGAGGCTCTGCCAAGCCGACGATGCCAGGCCGAGGGCCAGGAGCAGCTGATCGTGATTTCACCAAAAGGGACCTGTCCATCCTGGTGAAACTCCGGTGAAGCAACCGGGTTGGGGTTTTCATCCTGGCTACACGATCGTCAGGGTGGCAGCGTAGCAACAGCCTCCTCAATGTGAGCCTCAAGAAGTATGAGGAGACCACGGCACGACACAGAGGGACGGAGAAGTGATGCGCTTCTTTCATCAGGGCATCTGCCTGCTCGTTTCCCTGGATTTTCACAACAAATGTGACCCAGTGCGAAGAAACGCGTGCGGCATGTTCGAAAGAAGGTACATACTTCAGCGCACGCCATCACCTTCACCGCACCCAGTGAAGCTCGATAGCTGTTTCCCATTCAATTTTTTCAACGCATGAGTGTGGCTTGTTGAATCGAAAGCAACGAACGTAGGCAGCAAACGTCTTGCTGTGCCCAAGGCGCACACGTTCAGGTGAGGCTTCTGGTGGGCGCAAAATAAAAGGAAGAGATGACCCAGTGCAATGTGGGTGCTCGTCTTTTTTCTGTCTCAACGTCATTATTGCCAAAACCCAAGGGAAGGCTGACATCCTCCGCGTCGAAGCAGTACCGACACAAGACTAATTGCGTCACCATCCAGGCGTCCTTCGCGATGTCAGCACCATACGCTTATTGTTTTTTTTCACTTAGGCCGGCAAGACCGAGATGGATTACAGAGGGAAATCGTAAAACAAAAATAAATACAGTAAAATGAAATTCGTAATACAAGCATGATGTTTTAAGTTAGGCAAATTATATGTAACGCTGTAACTATTTACGAAAAAAGGAACAGAGTAGTACAGAACTACGAACACATTTTTCTAGCCTTGGTATACAATGTTAGCGAAGTTCTTTCGGAATCAAGCGTCGTCCTCGATGTCAGCTGTCAATCTGGAAAGGTTGTTTCAGCCTACTGATGTGCTGGAAGCGACTGACTGTGAACAAGTTTTAATCTTAAATGAAGGTACGCCTATTTTGTGGAAATAATCTGGCCTGGGTGAAATGAAAAGTGCAGGAAATAAGATTTTGTCGCGTATGTTAAGGCAATAGCAAACACTTTCTGGAACAAACATAACCGTCAAACCTGGCATCGAGATGCTAGAGAGGGTAAAATAAGAGTGTTTTTCTTGATGTTGACATTAGCGGTACGCTTAGAGTTCACTAAAATAACACGAGCAGCGTTATTATTTATGAGCTCAAGTGAAGTAATTAGGTTATCCGAAAAGGGGTTGGCTATGAACAAGCATTTTGTATAATGTTAGTTTTAGAAATATGGGAACAGTGGAAAAACTGCGGCGCAGGTAGCCGAACAGGCTGCGTTCACTGTTAATTATGGTACTGATATGGAGTGACCAAGTTAAAGAAGAGGTTACATGAATGCGAAGGTAGCGGTATGATGTTACATGTTCGTGCAAAGTGCTATTTACGTAATATGTAGTGGGAAGCATGATAATCTGTGAGAAACGCGTAAAATTTTACGCTTCGATGAATTATTCTCCATTAGTCATGAGTTGCAGTATACTGACAAGGAAGTTAAATCATTTTGTAGAATGCAAGAGTGATTGAGTCCATCAATTTCTCAGAAAATACAGTCATATTTGAATTTATGTATGTTAGAAACAACGCAACTAGGTAAGTCCTTAGGAAGGCCTAATACCGGCTCTTGAGGAACACCAGAATGGATGAGGCTTTGCAAGGAAATAGTATTATTAGTAGTTACAAATGGAAGCGTTCACAAAGGAGGTAATCAATAATAGCAAAAGTGGGGCTAGTTCGTGGTTCACACTTGGTATATAAAAACAGCGCAAAAATTATAG